TCTGCCTATATTTGGGTGTTCCTATGTTGGATGCATATAGGTTTACAATGTTTATGTCTTCTTGATGGATTCTTCCATTGAGTATGATGAAGTGTCCTTCTGTGTGTCTTTAATGGCCTTTCTTTTGAATTCTAAATGGCTGATATAAATGTTGTTACAACAGTTTTTTTTTTTGCTGTCCACTTGCTTAGAATATATATATATGTGTGTGTGTGTGTATGTGTATGTGTATATATATATATATATTTAGTCTAAAAGATATATTTTTATTGTTTTTAAAAATTTTGAGCACTACTTAACCAGCTTTTTTAATTTTTAATTTATTTTCTTAATTTTTAAAGCATGTATATTCTATTACAGTGGTCTCAATTTTTCCCCTTTGCTCTCCCCACCCATCCCACCCTAGCCCCCTCTCCCATAGTCAGTTCCATGCTGTTGTCCATGTCCATGGGTCACTCATACATGTTCTTTGTCTAGTCCCTTCCCCTTCTTTCCACCATTGTCCTCCTTCCCCTTCTCCTCTGGTCACTTTCAGTCTGCCTCATGTTTCCTTGCCTGTGCTTTATTTTGTTTGCTACTTTATTTTGTGGAATATATTCAATTTATAGGTTAGATCATATATTAGTCTTTCACCAACTGGCTTATTTCACTTAGCTGAATATTCTCCAGTTCCTTTCATGTTGTCACAGAAGGTAGGAGTTCTTTCTTTCATTCTGTCTTTTCTTTAAATGCAGATTGATTTTATTTATTTTTTAAATGTCAAGATCCATTGTAAAATATTAAAAACTTTAAATCCATTATAAAGTCTCAGCAATTAAAACAACATGACACCACCACAGAAATAATCAAGTAGATGAATGAAATAAAATGAGCATTCTAGAAACAAATGTATATATGTGTCTAGCAACATAATATATGATTAAATTGATATTTCAAATCAATGGGGAAAATAAGGTTTATTCAACAAATAAGGCACACGGACCACTATTATTTGAAATAAAACAAATATAGAACCCTATTTCACACATTATACAACAAATGTTCAGCTGAGTTAAAAATCAATATGTAAAATCTAAGGAGTTTTAGCAGAAAATACAAAATAATATTCTTCTTATCCTGAAGTAACATATTCCAGCCCAGAAGCTACAAAGTAAGATATTGACAATATGGCCATATTAAACATTTAAGACTGAATAATAATATATGTATAAAAAAAGTTAAAGGGAAAGTAATAGAATAGAAAATATTTGCAACACATCTGAAAAATGGTTAATAGTATTTGTTTTCTATGGAGGGGATTCTACAAACATTTAATCAAAAAATGGATAAAGAATACCAAAAAGTCATTTAAAGCTTTTGAAAATTAATAGAAATAGGCAAGAAATCTACAAAAACAGATTTAGTTTCAACAAATAATAAAGTAGCAATTAAAATAACACATCAGTGTCACAATCAGATTAAGTATTAAAAATATTGGTAATATCAACTATTGGTGACTGTGAAAGGAACTGGGTATTCCTAGACCCTTTATCTTCATCTTCTTAAAGCAGTCCCTTTAACATATTCCACAATGCTGGTGTGGCAGATGTGTATTTTTAAGACTTCTATTGTCTTGGACACTCCATTTTTCACCTTCCATTTTATTTGGGAGCCTTGCTGGGTAGAGCAGTCTTGGTTCCAGGCCTTTGTTTTTCATTACTTGGAATATTTCTTGCCAGTCCCTTCTGGTTTGTAGTGTTTCTGTTGAGAAGTCAGCTGCAAGCTGTATTACAGCTCCTTTGTATCTCCCTACCTGTTTCTCCCTTCCTGCCATTAGGATTGTGTTTGTTTTTGATACTTGCCATTTTAATTATGTGTCTTTGAGTAGACCTCATTGGGTTCCTCTTGAATGGGACCCTCTGTGCTTCCTGGACTTGCGTGACTTTTTCTCTCCTCCAATTAGGGAAGTTTTCCATCATTACTTTTTCAAACAGGCTCTCTAACCCTTGCTCCTCTTCTTCTCTTCTGGTATCCTTATTACATGGATATTATTATGTTTCAGGTTGTCCAGCATTTCCCTCATTGCCTCTTCATTCTTTTTGAGACTTTTTTCATTTTCTTGCTTTTTCTGGGAGCTTTTTCTACCTTGTCCTCCAGCTCATTTATTCGATTCTCTGCTTCATGTAGTCTGCTTTTGATTCCTTCTACTGTGTTCTTTGATTCAGAAATTGTATTCTTCATTTTCTCTTGCGTCTTATTGATATTTTCTATGTCCTTTTTCATGCTAATATATTTTTCAGTAAGTTCCTCATAGTTTCCCTGTAGTTTTGTAGTTCTCTCTGAGCTTGCTGAGCTCATTGAGCTTCCATAGTACCGTTGTTTTGAACTCAATATCTGATAGTTGCCTCTATTTCATTTAGTTCTTTTTCTGGGAATTCCTCCTTTCTCTTTGACTGTGGGGTGTTTCTTTGTCTTCTTACTATTTGTGAGACTTATTTTTGCCTTCTACCTTTAAAATTGACCTGTCTTGATTTCCTGACTTTGTGATGTGAACTTCTATGGTAGGAGACTGTTATTTTTGCTTTCTTGATCTGCCTCTGATGATGTCAGAGGTTGACCCTGTCTGACTTTAGGCAGTCTCTTTGAGACTTCCAGGAATCTACTGTCTGTGACTGTCTCCTTCTGTTGTTAATTTAGTCACTCTGCACTCAGCAGTCAGATTTAGTCACCACAGGGTGGGGCAGAGTCCCTCCTGGCAGTGGGGTTATTGTATCCTTTCACACTGCTGCCACTCAGGAGAATGGTCTGCCTGAGGCAGATGTCTGTTGCCATATGGGGGAGAAGTCAGCACCAGGATTCTTTCAGCCACGCTCTCCATTGTCTCCCCACAGCCTCCATCTCCAGTCTCTCCTCAAGAGTCTCTAGACCATTCTGGGCCCCTTTACCCAAAGATCTACTATCTGTGGCTACCACTTTGCACTTCGTCAGGTCGAGTCCCTCCTGGGGGCAGGGCTATTGTGTCCTCTCACTCTGTTGCCTCTCAGGGGAGTTGTCTGCCTGAGCAGGATGGCTTCTGTCACATGGGGAATGAGTCAGCACCAGGATGCCACCGGCTACTATCTCAGATCTCTTCCCAAAGCCTCCTTCCCCAGTCTCTCCTCAGGCATCTGTAGCCCACACTGCCCCCACCTTTGCTGAAGCCCAGAGTAAGTGGCTACAAATAAATATTTGTGTGTTGGCCCTTTAAACAGCTCTTTGCCTCTCCAGCAGTTCATGCATGGCAGAGAGAACCCTGCTGCTTATCACAGCTGGCTGTTATCTGTGTACTTTTTGGGCTCTGGTTCTTTATGCTGGAGATCTCCACTTATGGTTTAGACCACGCTCTTCTCAGAGGGCTCCAACTGGCCATTTCAATATCCTTCTGGTGCTGCTGCCCATGGGCACCCTTCTCAAGTGTCTACCACACTCCTTACCAGTTAGATTGTCCTAAAGCTGATTCTTCTGTCTGTCCAAGGTTATAAGGCTCCTCTCATGCTATTGTTCAGTTGTTTGTTCCAGGTGATTTCTCTAGAATTTAGTTTTAATTCCAGGTTGGTCCTGGGAGGAGGTTAATATGACTTCCACTCACTCCTCCACTATCTTGCTTCCCCTTGGAACATTTTTTTTCCAACCCTTTACTTTCAGTTTGTGTAGTTCTTTTGTTCTGAGGTGAATCTCTTATAGGCAACATATGTGCAGGTCATGTTTTCATATCCATTCAGCTACCCTCTATCTTTTGAATGGAGCATCTAATCCATTTATATTTAAGGCTATGATTGATAGATACTTATTTATTTTTTCCCTTTGTACCTGTGTTCCTCTCTTTCTCAACCTTTTTTTTTGTTTTAATTGTATTTTATTGTTTATGCTATTACAGTTGTTCCCACTTTTCCCCTCTCTGCCCACCTCTATCCAGCCCCTTCCCTCAGGCAATCCTCACACCATTGTCCATGTCCCTGGGTAATGCATATATGTTATTTGACTAATCCCTCCACCTTCTTTCATCCAGAATCCTTTCTTTCCTCCCTTCTGGCAGCTGTCAGTCTGTTCCATGAATCTATGTTTCTGCTTCAATTTTGTTTGTTAGTTTATTTTGCTCATTAGATTCCACATATAAGTGAGATCATATTGTATTTGTCTTTCACCTCCTGGCTTATTTCACTTAGCATAATAGTCTCCAGGTGCATCCATGCCTTCCCAAAAGGTAAATTTTCCTTCTTTTTTACTGCTGCATAGTTTTCCATTGTGTAAATGTACCACAGGTTTTTTTTTTTAATCCATGTGTATGGTATTATACCCTAAGAATCCCAAAACACCAATTCAAAAGAACCTATCCACCCTAATGTTTATAGCAGCACAATTTACAATAGCCAAGTGCTGGAAGCAACCTAAGTGCTCCTCAGTAAATGAGTGGATCAAAAAACTATAGTACATTTACAGAATGTAATACTATGTAGCAGAAAAAAAGAGCTACTACCCTTTGCAACAGCATGAATGGAACTGGAGAGCATTATCCTAAGTGAAATAAGCCAGGAGGTGAAAGACAAATACCATATGATCTCACCTATAAGTGGGAACTAACCAACAAAACAAAAGAGCAAGGAAAATATAATAGCCACATTGAAAGAAAAAAGAAAGCAACAAAATCAAGAAGGAAGGAGGGAGAAGGGGTTGGGGACAGGGGAGGGAAGGGTCAAGTCAAAGAACATGTATAAAGGACCCATGGACAAAGCCCAAGTAGGAAAGGATTAAGGGAGGGAGGTGGGGGAGGGGATCAAAGGGGCAGGAGAAAGTGGTGGCAAGAAGGTAGAGACAAATGTATTTGAACAATAAAAAAATAAAAATAGCTTTCGCCTCAGTCTCAAGCTCTAGCTGGCAGCGCAAGATACGCGCTCCAGATCTTCAATACCCCTGTCGCCATCAATGTCGTTAGGTTCCTTTGGGCTCTTCTGCACCACTCACTCGCCACACACTTGGCCATCATGGTGAAGCTCTCAAAGGCTGGTAACAACCAGGGCAACCCCAAGAAAATTGCCCCTCCTCCAAAGGAGGTAGAAGAAGATAGTGAAGATGAGGAAATGTCAGAGGATGAAGATGATGAAAGCAACGAAGAAGAGGTTATCATTCCTCAGAAAAGCAAGAAGTCCTCCAGGAAAGAAGGTGATTGTTTCCCCAGCAAAGAAGATTACGGTTGCCACACCAGCCAAGAAAGCAGTTGTCACCCCTTGCAAAAAGGCAGCAGCTATGCCAACTCCTGGCAAAAAGGCAGCAGTTATGCTAGCCAAAGCAGTAGCCACACCAGGCAAGAAGGGAGGCATGCCAGGCAAAGTACTGGTGGCAGCCCCTGGTAAGAAGGGAGCAGCCACTCCAGCCAAGGGAGCAAAGAATGGCAAAAATGCTAAGGAAGACAGTAATGAGGAAGATGAGGATGACAGTGAAGAGGATGATGAGGAGGATGATGATGAAGATGAAGATGAGGATGAAGAGAAGATGAGGATGAATTTGAGCCAGCAGTGAGGAAAGCTGCTGCTGTCACTGCTGCCTCCGATGATGAAGATGAGGACGATGAGGATTACAATGAAGAAGATGACTCTGAAGAAGAACCTATGGAGGTGGTTGTACCAACCAAAGGCAAGAAAGCCTCAAAAGTTGTTCCTGTGAAGGCCAAGAGCACAGGTGAGGATGAAGATGAAGAGGATGAAGACAAAGAGGAGGACGATGAAGATGAGGAAGAGGAGGAAGAGGAGGAGGGGGAAGAGGAAGAAGAGCCTGTCAAAGAAGCACCTGGAAAACAAAAGAAGGAAATGGCCAAAGAGAAAGCTGCTCCTGAAGCCAAGAAGCAGAAAGTGGAAACCACAGAACCAACTAAAACTTTCAATCTCTTTATTGGAAACCTGAACTTCAGCAAATCTGCTTCTGAATTAAAAATGGGTATCAGTGATGTGTTTGCTAAAATCGATCTTGCTGTTGTGGATATCAGAATTGGTATGTCTAGGAAGTTTGGCTATGTGGATTTTGAATCTGCTGAAGACCTAGAAAAAGCCTTGGAACTCACTGTTGTTTTTTTTTAAATTAATTTATTTACTTTTTAAATACATTTGTCTCTGCCTTCCCCCCACCTCTTTCCCTAGCCCCCTCCCACCTTCCCTCCTTCAGCTCTTCCCCTTTGGTTTTGTCCATGAGTCCTTGCTATATGTTCCTTGACTTTCCCCTTCCCTTCCTTGTCCCTGCCCCCCCTTCCCTCTTGTCTCTGTTGATTTCTTTTCCTTTCAGTGTTGCTGGTCATATTTTCCTTGCTTCTTTGCATTGTTGGTTAGGTTCCGCTTATAGGTGAGATCATATGGTATTTGTCTTTCGCCCCCTGGCTTATTTCGCTTAGCATGACGCTCTCCAGTTCCATCCATGCTGTCGCAAAGTTTAGTACTTCTTTTTTCTTTCTGCTGCGTAGTATTCCATTGTGTATATGTACCATAATTTTTTGATCCAATCATCTACTAATGGGTATTTAGGTTGCTTCCAACACTTGGCTATTGTAAATTGTGCTGCTATGAACATTGGGGTGCATAGGTTCTTTTGTATTGGCGTTTTGGTGTTCTCAGGGTATAGTCCCAGCAGGGGAATCGCTGGATCAAAAGGCAGTTCCATTTTCAGCTTTCTGAGGAAATTCCACACTGCTTTCCATAGTGGTTGCACCAGTCTGCATTCCCACCAACAGTGGACTAGAGTTCCCTTTTCTCCACAGCCTCGCCAGCACGTGTTGTTTGTCACTGTTTTAAAAGTCTTTGGTAATGAAATTAAACTAGAAAAACCAAAAGGAAAAGACAGTAAAAAAGATCGAGGTGCAAAAACAATTTTGGCTAAAAATCTGCCTTATAAAGTTACTCAGGAAGAATTAAAAGAAGTGTTTGAAGATGCCATGGAGATTAGATTAGTCAGCAAGGATGGAAAGAGTAAAGGAATTGCATATATTGAATTTAAGACAGAAGCTGATTCGGAGAAAACCTTGGAAGAAAAACAGGGAACAGAAATAGATGGGCAATCCATTTCCCTGTACTACACCAGAGAGAAAGGTCAAAATCAAGACTATAGAGGTGGTAAGAATATCACTTGGAGTGGTGAATTCAAAACTGGTTTTAAGCAACATCCCCCACAGTGCAACAGAAGAAACTCTTCAGGAAGTATTTGAGAAGGCAACTTCTATCAAAGTGGCCCAGAACAAAAATGGCAAATCTAAAGGGTATGCATTTATAGAATTTGCTTCATTTGAAGTTGCTAAAGAGGCTTTAAATTCCTGTAATAAGAGAGAAATTGAGGACATAACAATCAGGCTGGAGTTGCAAGGACCCAGAGGATCACCTAACGTGAGAAGCCAGCCATCCAGAACTCTGTTTGTCAAAGGTTTGTCTGAGGAGACTACAGAAGAGACATTAAAGGAGTGCTTTGATGGCTTTGTTCGGGCCAGGATAGTCACAGACCGGCAGACTGGATCTTCCAAAGGGTTTGGTTTTGTAGATCTCAACAGTAAGGAAGATGCCAAAGCAGTCAAGGAGGCCATGGAAGATGGTGAAATTGATGGAAATAAAGTCACTTTGGACTGGGCTAAGCCTAAGGGTGAAAGTGGCTTCAGGGGTCACGGCGGAGGCAGAGGTGGCTTTGGAGGCAGAGATGGTGGCAGAGGAGGCCAAGGAGGATTTGGTGGCCAAGGCCAGGGAGGCTTTGGAGGTCAGGGAGGCTTCTGGGGAGGCAGAGGGGGCAGAGGCGACCACAAACCACAAGGAAAGAAGACCAAGTTTGATAGTTTCTTCTATTCCTGTCTTTCCTTCTTCCATTTGAAAGAAAGGACTCTGGGGTTTTACTCTGTTACCTGATCAATGACAGAGCCTTCGAAGGATATTCTAAGACAGTATACAGTCCTGTGGTCTACTTGGAAATCCAGAGAGTTAACATTTCAAGAGAGCTACCCTGTTGGTTTTGACTGGATATTCACATAAACTTTTTAAAGAAATGATCGCTTGTTTTCAACACCATATTGGAAGTCCTAGCCACAGCGGTCAGACAAGAGAGAGAGATAAAAGGCATCCAAATAGGAAACGAGGAAGTAAAGCTATCATTGTTTGCAGATGACATGATAGTGTACATAGAGAACCCTGTAGACTCCACCAAAAAACTCCTCAACCTAATAAGTGAATTTGGCAAAACAGCAGGATACAAAGTCAACATTCTGAAATCAAAGGCATTTTTGTACACCAGCAATGCAATAGAAGAAGAAGAAATCAGAAAAAAAAAATACCATTCGATATAGCAAGAAGAAAAATAAAGTACCTAGGCATAAATTTGACCAAAGATGTAAAAGACCTTATGCAGAAAACTATACAACATTGAAAAAAGAAATTAAGGAAGACACAAATAAATGGAAGCATATATCATATTCATGGATTGGAAGAATTAATATCATCAAAATATCCATACTAGCCAAAGCAATTTATAGATTCAACACAATCCCTAATAAGATACCAATGACATATTTCACAGAAATAGAACAGACATTTCAAAAATTTATATGGAACCATAAACGACCCTGAATAGCCGCAGCAATTTTGAGAAAGAAACACAAAGTAGGAGGGATCACAACACTGGACATCAAACTACATTACAGAGTGACCATACTCAATACAATCTGGTACTGGCACAAGAACAGACCCATAGACCAGTGGAACAGACTAGAAAGCCCAGAAATAAGCCCAGGTTTATATGGGCATCTAATATTTGACAAAGGTGGCAGAAGCATAAAATGGAGCAATAATAGCCTCTTCAACAAATGGTGTTGGGAGAGCTGGATGGCTACATGCAAAAAATTGAAAGTGGATCATCAGCTGACACCATACACAAAAGTAAACTCAAGATGGATAAAAGACTTAAATATAAGTCACAACACCATAAAAGTCCTAGAGGAGAACATTGGCAGGAAACTCTCAGATATCTCATGCAGCAATTTTTTCACTGATATGTCTCCTAAAGCAAAGGACATAAAGGAAAGAATAAGCAAGTGGGACCTCATCCAAATAAGAAGCTTCTGCATGGCAAAAGAAAACATCAGCAAAATGAAAAGGGAGCCAACCACATCAGATAGAGGTTTGATCTCTAAGATATATAAAGAACTCACTGGACTCCATTCCAAGAAGACAGACGATCCAATTAAAAAATGAGCAAAGGACCTGGGCAGATGCTTTTTAAAGGAGGAGATACAGAGGGCCCAGAGGCATTTGAAAGGATACTCAGCATCACTGGCCATCAGAGAAATGCAGATCAAAACCACCATGAGGTACCACCTCCCACCGGTTAGACTGACCGTCATGAACAGGTCAACAAACAACAGGTGCTGGTGAGGCTGTGGAGAAAAGGGAACCCTAGTACACTGTTGGTGGGAATGCAGACAGGTGCAGACACTGTGGAAAGCAGTGTGGAATTTCCTCAAAAAGCTGAAAATGGAACTGCCTTTTGATCCAGTGATTCCCCTGCTGGGATTATAACCTAAGAACACCACAATGCCAACGCAAAAGAACCTATGCACCCCAATGTTCATAGCAGCACAATTTACAATAGCCAAGTGTTGGAAGCAACCTAAATGCCCATCAGTTGATGATTCAATCAAAAAGTAATGGTACATATACACAAAGGAGTACTATGAGCAGAAAGAAAAAAAGAACTACTAAACTTTGTGACAGCATGGCTGGAACTGGAGAGCATTATGCTAAGTGAAATAACCCAGGGGGTGAAAGACAAATACCATATGATCTCACCTATAAGTGGAACCTAACCAACAATACAAAGATGCAAGGAAAATAAGACCAGAAACACTGAAAGGAAAAGAAACCAACAGAGACAAGAGGGAAGGAGGAATGGGGGCAGGGACAAGGAAGGGAAGGGGAAAGTCAAGGAACATATAGCAAGGACTCATGGACAAAACCAAAGGGGAAGAGCTGAGAGAGGGAAGGAGGGAGGGGCAATGGAAAGTGGTGGGAGGTAGGCAGAGACAAATGTATTTGAAAAAATAAATTAAAATTAAATTAAAAAATAAAACAATATAATCATAGTTAACTCTGTGTTGGAGGAGGGCTACTTGAAACAAGGTGGAGGATGTAGGGTAGAGAGACTTTTCACTGTATTTATCTTTATAGTTTGTGATTTATTAACCAGGAATTATTACCTATTCAAATATTTTAGAAATCTGATGTAATAAAAATAGTTTTAAAAATAAACAAAATAAAATTATTCCAGTATAATAGAACATACTAGAGTGATTGGAAACCCTTTCACTGCTTGCACCCAGTCACTTGTGCAATAAAAGCTGAAAAATAAAAAAAAATAAAAAAAATAAGTGACTGATAGAACTAACCCTTATCTGTAAGTTTTGAATTTATATTGTTTCTTCCCATGTACGAAACCATTTTTTCCTACAAATAGTTTTTTTGTGTGTGTTTTGGAGGGTATAAAGGAAAGCAGAATGTTTAATCATGATTTTGCTTCAGCAACTTTGGGACAAATTAAAAGTCCTAAACTCTGAACAAATAAATAAATAAAAATAAAAATAAAACATTAAAAAAAAAAGAATCCTGAAACACCAATTCAAAATAATTTATGCACCACATTCATAGCAGTGTTATTTATAATAATGAAGACCTGAAAGCAGCCTGAGTTCTCTCACACTCTTTTTCTTCATCTTTTTAAAGTAGTTCTTTAGTATATCTTGTAATGCTGGTTTGTTGGAGGTGTATTCTTTTAGCCTTTTTTTTTTTTTTTTTTTTTTGGTCTGGAAAACTCCATGATTTGCCTTCCATATTATTTAAAGCCTTACTGAATAGTCTTTGTTGCAGGCCTTTTTTTCCCTCATATTTGGAATATTTCTTGCCATTCCCTTCTGACTTGTATTTCTTCTGTTGAGAAGCCAGTTGCTAGCCACATCAGAGCACCATTGCATATTACTTCCTGATTCTCCCTTGCTGCCTGTAAGTTCCTCTCTTTGTCTCTAAAATTTAGCATTTTAATGATTCTGTGTTTTGGAGTACACCTCTGTGGGTGCATCTTGATTGGGTCTCTCTGTGCTTCCTAAACTTGCGTGGCTTTTCCCCTCTCCAGCTTAGGGAAGTTTTCTGTCATTATTTTTTCAAGCAGCTTTCCTTGCTCCTTTTCTTCTCCTTCTGGTATTTGTATGACTCATATGTTGTTGTATTTCATATTGTATTGCTGGTCTGTTAAGCTATCTTCATATTTTTTCATCTTTTTTTGTGCAGCCTCTCTACCTGGTTATTTCTTCCTACCTTCTCTTGCAGCTCACTAATTTGGTCCTCTGCTTCATCCAGTCTGCTTGAAATTCCTTCAGGTGTATTTTTTTATTTCAGATATTGTATTCCTCATTTCTTCCTGGTTCTTGTTTTTAGTTTCTATTTCCTTTTTAAGGTTGTTGTAGTCTCAACTCAGTTCCTTGTGTTTGTCACTGAGTTCCTTGAGCATTCTTATAACCATTCTTTTGAATTCTATTTTTGATAGTTTGCCTACATCCATTTCATTTAGCTCTTTTACTAGGGATTTTTCTATTTCTTTCAATTGGAGGGTTCAACATGAGAGTATTCTATGGAATTTAAGGTACAAACAAATAGTGTACAAATAGGAGTTCCTTTGGAGAAGAACAACACCATTTTAGTTCACTACTAGCTACTAGCTACTGTTCATAAAAGGTAGAAAGGAAATAAGACTATTATTCAAGGGGAAAAAGAATGTGAGCTGACTTAAAAAATAAAAGCACTCATGTGAGGTTAGATGGAGGAGAAATAGTGACTAAGCAATAGAAACTTGGCATAGTGTGACAGAAAAATAAAGTTTACAGCAACAGTATTAAGATCAGGAAGATGGTGAAGTGGACCAGGACCAGGGAATGGTGCTGTGTGGTATTTGGAATAACAATAGTATGATAAGAAATATATAATCTGAATTAAAAGAATAAAAAGTAAAAGACCAAGAGTAGTATATTATTTGGAATACAAGTGAAGTGAGAGAAGAAAAATTAAAATTCAATATGAAAGGGAGAATAAGAAATCAAAACAAACAATAAAAACAAACACACACATACAAAAACTCACACCCAAAAATAACTGAATAAATGGAAAGAAGAAAGAAATAAAAAAATATGCAAGTTCTGATGAAGAGCAAAGTGAAATAGTCTCAGCTCTTAGTGTATAATTTCTGACTCCTTTTGGGATGTGTCTCTTGTTTTCTCTTGACCCCAGGTCTTACTGCCTTACTTTAGAGAACAAAAAAATTTTTAAAAGCCTGCTCAGCTAGTTTTGCAAATCTCCCCTGTTTCTGCAGGCAGAGGCAGAGGAGGGCTGGTCTCCATTTTTTCCTTTCCTGTGGTTCCACCAGGATGAGGCCTCAGTATGGACTACAACAATCACAGGTGCCTGGTTTCCTGCCCAGGCACTCAGAGCACTGTGTGGCCTGCACTCTCTACTCTATGCATTTGCGCCCTGCCAGTGTCATAAGCCACCTTGCTTTGCACCCCTTTGATCAATCTATGAAATGCCCTGAATGGGAGTAAATTGTGCCCAGACTCCTCCCTCTTTCTTGGCCAGGCCACTGCACATGCAAGTTTCGTTAACAGCACACCTCAGTTCCACTTTTGAAAAAAGTTTCCTGGGTGTCACTGCCGCTCCAAGCCACTACTGAACTTTCCACGCAGTCCAACCCTCTGACAAGTCTGGAGTGTATCTGGGTCAGGCCAGTCACAGCCCACCTCCTCTCCCAGTTCCAGGTGTCACCAAGATCCCCCAAATTCTCTGGCAATGTCCCCGCCAGCTGCTGCCTCCACAGC